CCAACCCCAGAGGACAGTTTCAGTAGTAGGAAGGAATCCAGGAGTGTTTGAGGAGATTTGGCTGAGCCAGATGCCAAACAAGGGCCCTGGGACTCTGTTCTGGATTCCTGTATCAGCTAAGGTTTTCCCAAAGAAGGAGTGTGCTTACACACACACACACACACACACACACACACACACAGTGCAATACACGTTACACACAAACACACACACACACACACACACACATATATATATATATACATATGTATATATAATTATATGTAAGGAGAACTTTTAATTTGGTTATTGTTTTACTTTTTAAATTTTTAATGTTTTATGTGCATGGGTGTTTTGCCAGCATATCTGTGCACCATATGCATGCAGTGCCCTCAGAGGCCGGAAGTGGGCAGTAGATCCCTGGGGCTTACAGGTGATTGTAAGCTCCTCTGTGGGTGCTGGGGATCAAACCTGGGTCCTCTGCAAGAACAACCCATGCTCTTAACCACTGAGCCATCTCTCCAGTCCCTGCTGTGTTAAGTTTAAGGAACAGGCTCACACAAGCATGGCCTCAAGCAATTCTAAGGTCTCTGAGGAAGGCCCGCATGGTGACGGCACACTCAGAGCAAGTATGGACTGGTCATCAGCAGAATGCTGTCTTCCTTGGGAACATCCGCATTTTTAAGCGTGTGTGGGCAGGGGTGGTGTATGTACACATGTATGCAGGAGCATACACTTGGCTGTTTACATAGGTGCTGGGATTTGAACTTGGGTCCTCAAGCCTGCACAAGCCCTCTTGCTCACTGAACCATCTCTCTAGCCCCAAACGATTCTTCCTATTGAGACTGTGAGCTGATGAAACAAGGTGAGGACCACTACATCACAGAGGGCAATCAGCTAACGCCCACTGATGTGATGTTATTCTTTCTCCAAACATCTTCACAGATAAGCACCTAGATGTGTTTACCCAAATGGTCTTGGTGCTGTGGCCTGACAAGCAGACATGAAATTAACTACCAAACTCTTGGCTCTGCCACACCCTGGCCTGCTTCATTTTCAGATGCCAAGGTAGCTGCTGGTATTCTAAACTCCGTCCTTGTAGCTCAAGGTAGCGTATGGCCAGCCTGATGGGCCACACGAGGTCGTCACCACTCCACATGGACCCCATAAAGAGGAAGGGTCTGTTCAGAAAAAAAAAATGAGGGGAAGTGGCCCCAAGCTGCTGCTAAGGACATCTGCAGAGGACCCCACCTCAGAAGGGCCTTCCTCTGCCTTTCCTTCCCTGTGTCCCTCAGCCTGAGAGGAACTGTCTTCCAGGGTGTGTCCCCAGCTTCTGGTGGCACATGGGTTGTGGGGAAACAAGGATGGACCCTGTGACTTGGGACTCCAGGACTGGGACGCTGGGGTTTCCAACAGCCGGTCTTCAAATACCCTGAGAAGTGAGAGTCTCAGCCACATTTATTACTCACTTTTCTGGGTTTTTTTTAGTCCAAAGATGCCACATAGTAGGATGGAAAGGTCAACAGAATCAGGGACAAGAAGCTCAGAAAAGCCCTTGACTCACTGATCAATATTAACGTCTCAAGAATCTGGGATTCATGCCAGAAAGAGCAGATTGGGTCGATCTCACTTGAGGGTGGAGTTTCCTAAACATGCACTCTGGGCGAATGGAGTCCCCAACTCTGCCTCTGGGCCCTCACTTGCACCTGTATCAATTGAGAGAACCCTTTTTCTCTCCATGTACAGCTCAGTGCAGTCTTGTACACACAGGTACACACACACACACACACACACACACACACACACACACACACACACTTCTTCCGTTTCTCTAGGGGAGCAGGGTTACCACTGGTTGAGTGTGTGTGCTTACACACATGCTCACATTGTGTGTGCTAGGGTTTTTTTGGGGGCGGGGAGTTGGCTTTTTGGTTTTTGTTTTGTTTTGTTTTGTTGAGATAGGGTTTCTCTGTGTAGTTTTGGAGCCTTTCCTGGAACTCACTCTGTAGCCCAGGCTGGCCTTGAACCCACAGAGATCTGTCTGCCTCTGCCTCCCCTGAGCGCTGGATTAAAGGTGTGCGCTACCACTGCCCGGCCTGTGTATGCTGGGTTTTAAATATGCATCTTCCTTAATTTTATCCTGAATCCACAGAGCCCCCGTCAACCACCATCCACCCTCTGTCTCTGTGCCTAGTGGAGGTACCGCTTGCTTACAAGTGGACTTCTACAGCATTTTGCCTCTTTGTGATTGCTTTGCTTTGCTTATT